GTAGCTGGGATTACAAGTGTGCACCACTATGCCTGGCTCATTTTTGTGTTTTTAGTAGAGACGGAGTTTCTCTGTGTTGGTCACACTGGTCTTGAACCCCTGTGATCTGCCTGCCTCGGCCTCCCAAAGTGTTGGGATCACAGGCGTGAGCCGCCACGCCTGGCCCAGAATTTGTCTCAACATCCATTATCAGCCGGGCGCTGCAGCTCACGCCTGTCATCCCTACACTTTTGGAGACGGAGGTGGGTGAATCACCTGAGGTCAGGAGTTCAAGACCAGCATGGCCAACATAGCAAAACCCCGTCCCTACTAAAAATACAAAAATTAGCCAGGAGTGGTGGCGCATACCTGTAACCCCAGCTACTCAGGAGGCTGAGGCAGGAGAATTGCCCCAACTCAGGAGGTGGAGGTTGCAGTGAGCCAAGATCGCGCCACTGCACTCCAGCCTGGGTGACAGAATGAGACTCTGTCTGGAGAGCCTCTCCTCTTACAGAGGATGTGGAGCTGACACCCCTTTTTGTCACCTGCTTTATCCCGCTGCCCCCTCCCCCACATGCCAATTCTTTTTTTTTCAAAAAAGAAAAAAAAAAAAAAGCCATTCTCCACACTGCTCAAAGGAGCGCTAGCTGTAATTCAAATATGACTGTCATTCCTCAGCTTAATAACCTTTTGTGGTACCCAGCTGCCTACAGGTCGAAAAGCAAGCTTTTTGGCACGATGCCTACTGACCTCCAGCCTCATCTCCCGTCACTCCCTGGCCTCACATTTCATGGTTTGGCAAAGTCTCTTCCTACATTTTCTCATCCCATGATGGCTGGCACTCCCAGGGTCTGGCACCTGCTCTTCCTATAACTTCAGTGCCCTTCGCTCCTCATCTCCCTGGCAAACTGCTATTCATCCTCTGAAGTCCAGTTCAGGCATGATCTTCCCTGTCGAGCCTGACCCCTCAGAGAAGAAGCTCATCCTTCCTCTGTACAACTTCCAAATTTTGCGTGTTCTTTTATTTCATGCTGTTGAAATAACTGGTTTACCAGATGGCCTTCTCCACTAGATGGCAAACCCCATGGACACAGGAACCATGTAAGTTCTGTTCAGCATGGCATCTTCGTAATCTAACCCAAGATCTGGCAAATAGTAGGTGCTCAATGAGTGTGTAACAATTGACCAGGAAGACCTTGCAGAGGTCATGGGGGATGAATGAAAGGGGAGTGGTTTCAGTAGATTGGGGATTTGGGGTGGCGAGAGCCAGGCTTCCAGGCTTATGAGAGGTGAGAGGACATGAAAGAGAGAAGGTAGAAATTCTAGGATGTAAGGAAAGATGAATTCAGAGAAAGCAGCTTGAGCACATGTGTATTTCCAAGGAAGGAGCCAGTAGAGAAAGAAAGCTGGAGAACTGAGGAAGGGGCAATTGATGACATGAGGCACCAGGAGAGATGGAGCCGAGGCAAGCCAGAAGAGAAAGACACTGCCCTCAGAGCATGGGGGCGCTGTGCAGGGAGAGAGGGACAGTAGGTCAAGATGGGTGCTGCCTGGAGAAGGGGGAGGTTGAGGGAGTCCTCATCCTGTGGTCAGAGGAAGGGAAAGAAAGCTAACGGCACCCAGGTGCAATGGCACACACTGGTAATCCCAGCACTTTGGGAGGCCCAGGTGGGCAGATCACCTGCGGTCAGAAGCTTGAGGCCAGCCTGGCCAACATGGTAAAACCCCATCTCTACTAAAAATACAAAAAAATTCTGGGCGTGGTGGCTCACGTCTGTCATCCCAGCTACTCAGGAGGCTGAGGCAGGTGAATTGCTTGAACCCAGGAGGCAGAGGTTGCAATGAGCTGAGATGCCTTATTGCCCTCCAACCTGGGTGACAGAGTGAGACTGTCTCAAAAACAAAAATGAACAAACAAAAAACAAACGTAATGTCTTTTCTTTTCTTTTCCTTCCTTTTTTTCTTTCTTTCGTTCTTTTCCCCCTCCCCCCCTCCCTGCCTCTCTTCCTCCCTTCCTCCCTGCCTCCCTCTCACCCAGGCTATGGTGCAGTGGTGCTATCTCAGCTCAACACAATCTCTGCCTCCCAGGTTCAAACAATTCTGCCTCAGCCTCCCGAGTTGCTGGAACTACAGGCACATGCCACGATACCCAGCTAATTTTTGTATTTTCAGTAGAGACGGGGTTTCACCATGTTGGCCGGGATGGTCTCGATCTCCCGACCTCGTGATCTGCCGGCTTCAGTCTCCCACAGTGCTGGAAGACTCCCACATGCCTGTAAGGCATGAGCCACTGCACCCGGCCACTTTTTTTTTTTTTTTTGAGACAGAGTCTTGCTCTGTTGCCCAGGCTGGAGTGCAGTGGTGCAATCTCAGCTCACTGCAACCTCCACCTCCTGGGTTCAAGTGATTCTCCTGCTTCAGCCTCAGAAAGTAGCTGGTTTTACAGGCGTCCACCACCACACCCGGCCAATTTTTGTATTTTTAGCAGAGACAGTTTTTGTATTTTTAGCAGTTTCACCATGTTGGTCGGGCTGGTCTTGAACTCCTGATCTCAGGTGATCCGCCAGCCTCAGCCTCCCAAAGTGCTGGGATGACAGGCGCGAGCCACTGAGCCCCGCCTGTCTAATCTACTTTTATTAACACAGAGTCTGGCTCTGTTGGCCAGGCTGGAGTGCAGTGGTATGATCATAGCTCACTCCAGCCTTGACCACCTGGGCTCAAGCAATCCTCCTGCCTCAGCCTCCCGAGTAGCTGGGACTACAGGCGTGCACCATAACATCCAACTAATATTTTATTTTTGGTAGAGATGGGGATCTCACTATGTTGCCTAGTCTGGTCTGGAACTCCTGGGCTCCAGTGATCCTTCGGCCTTGGCCTCCCAAAGTGCTGGGATGACAGGCTGGGATGACACCATGCCTGGGACTGGCTCATGTCCCTTTAATTGTATTTATTTACTGCACAAATTATTTTCCTCATTATTCACTCTTCCCAGGAGAACATGTGCTCCATTAGGACGTGTTTTTGGCTGTTCACTGCTCTGTCACCGGATCACTTGTCAGGCAATAAGTTTTTGTTGAGGCCCTGCCTATGGCTCACACCTGTAATCCCAGCACTTTGGGAGGCGGAGGCGAAGGCGGGTGGATCACCTGAGGTTAGCGGTTTGAGACCATCCTGGCTAACATGGGAACCCCCATCTCTACTAAAAATACAAAACATTCGTCAGGCGTGGTGGCAAGGGCCTGCAGTCCCAGCTATTCCAGAGGCTGAGGCAGAAGAATCGCTTGAACCAGGGAGCCGGGGGTTGCAGTGAGCCGAGATCGCGCCACTGCACTCCAGCCTGGGCGACAAGAGGGAGACTCCAGATAAACAAACAAAAAAATGCGTTTGTTGAATGAATGCATAAAGGGCCAGAGCCTGAAACTGCGCCCTCTGTCTTCGACACGGGGCGCGTGTGGGTTGAAATCAGCGTCTGGGCTTGGAATGGGGCGCTCAGGGCCTGGGGGGACCCGCTGTCTGCGGGCGGGAGAGTTCCAGGACCCCGCCAGTGGGGCCCGAGCTTTCTCTCCAGGGCGGGCGTTCTGTCCTCCCCCGGGGGCGGCGCCGGAACTTCCCGAGGAAGGGCAGGAATTTTTGAAATCCAGGCCCCGCCCGGCGGTAATAGGCACCTTCGGCCCCGGCGGAACCGCCCGGCCCTAAATCACCGCGCCCGCCTCTGCTCTGGAGAGAAACGCGCGCTCCCGGGCACGGGCGCAGGTGCCGCGGAAATGCCTGGTCCCCGCTAGCCTTTGAAGTCGGCGGAGCCCGCAGCGGCCCGGGATCCGCGGGCTTCCAGGAGGAGGCGCCGCTGCGTTTCCTGACCTGTGCGGGGAGGGAGGGGTAGGAAACGCCGGCCTTTGGGCATTTTCTTTGCTTTTACTAACCTCTTTTTTCATTCATTCATTCATTCATTCATTTGACGGAGTCTGGAGGGCAGTGGCGTGAGCCACCGCGCCCGGCCAAGTACTTTCAAGGTTCTTAAAACACACCAAAGGTTAGGCGCGGGGGCTCACGCCTGTCATCCCAGTTCTTTGAGAGGCCGAGGCAGGTGGATCACCTGAGGTCAGGAGTTCAAGACCAGCCTGGCCAACATAGTGAAACACCGTCTCTACTAAAAATACAAAAATTAGCCAGGTGTGGTGGTGCATGCCTATAATCCCAGCTACTCAGGAGGCTGAATCAGGAGAATTCTCCTGAACAGCAGGAGAATCACTTGAACCCAGGTGGTGGAGGCTGCAGTGAGCCGAGACCGCGCCCCTGCAGTCCAGCCTGGGTAAGAGAGCCAGATTCCGTCTCAACCACAACAACAAAAACACCAAAGTACCACACTTCTGGTTTTTATTTCTATTTCTGAGGCAGGGTCTCACTCGACTGCCCAGAAATAGACCGCCCCAGCCTCCTGAGTAGCTGGGACTACAGAGGCACGTACCACCGCACTTGGCTAATTTTTGTATTTATCATATAGACCGGGTCTCGCCTTGTCAGCCAGGCTGCTCTCGAAATGCTTGGGCTCAAGCGATCCACCCGCCTGGGCCTCCCAAAGTGCTGGGATGACAGGCGTGAGCCACCGCACCCGGCCGCTCCCACTCTTTCCGTTCCCATCAGCTCTCCTGCTAGAAGCCACATTTAGCCCGGTGTCTGGAGTGGGAAGTGAGGAACGTGGCCACCCCGCAGCGGCCCCTGAGTGAGGCCAGTTCCCTGGGGCGGCGTGGCCGGGATGCCCGTCTGGTCTCCGCTTTCAGAAACCTGCAAGCTTCCTTCCTCGCCTTCCTCCTTCCCTTGGTTCCCCCCTCGCCCCCCGACCTACCTGGAGGCCGGCAATAAAGCAGGAGGAGGGAGATGGATGGGTGGGAGGGCGGGGCGCAGCGTGGTGCCATAAAGCCCTGCCGGAGAGGCCCGTCCAGGGAGTGTCCAGCCCGCAGGAGCCGGGACTGTCCGTGTCGCGAGCCGGGGCTGGGGCAGAGGGCAGAGGGCCCGGGAAGGCCATGCTGCGAGCGCCAGGACTAGGCCTCAGGGCGCGGAAGGGGGCCGAGGGTTCCGCGGAGGACTTGGGGGGCTCCTGCCCCGGGGCCGGGAAGGATATGGGGGTGCTGCGAGCGAGCCGCGCTCCCCACGGCCTGGGCGAAGCGGAGGAGCCCGCGGGCCGGAGGCGCGCGCGGCCCGTGCGGTCCAAGGCGCGGCGCATGGCGGCCAACGTGCGGGAGCGCAAGCGCATCCTGGACTACAACGAGGCGTTCAACGCGCTGCGTCGGGCGCTGCGGCACGACCTGGGCGGCAAGAGGCTCTCCAAGATCGCCACGCTGCGCAGGGCCATCCACCGCATCGCCGCGCTCTCCTTCGCCTTGCGCGCCAGCCCCGCGCCCCGCGTGCCCTGCGGACACCTGGAGTGCCATGGCCCGGCAGAGCGCGGGGTCCCGGGGGACGCGAGGGATGACCCGGGCGCCAGTCTCCCGCCGCCCGCAGGGCCTGGCCTCGCGCGCCCAGATGCCGCCCGCCCCCCGGTGCCGCCTGCGCCCCGCTGTGCCTCGTGCTCTCCGCACGCGCCCCCGGAACGACCCCGCGCTCTGGCCGAGGTGCCCCGCCCGGCCCAGCCCAGGCCTCCGGGGGAAGCTGGCGCCGAGGTCCAGGGGCTTCCTCCGCCGGGCCGCCTCCCTGACCGCGCGGCTACCTGCGAGCCAGCCCCGGGATGGGCCCCCCGCACTCCTGACCCGGCTCGGGGCGCCCGCGGGCCTGGAGGGAGGCCGGGCTGGCAGCTGGGCTACAGGAACGGAGGCTGCAGAGGCGCCTGGACAGAGCGACACGGGACACAGCGACACTGCACCGGCTGAGACCTGGCGCGGAGGAGACGCCGCCTCTCCAGGGAGAAGGAGCTCAGGGGCCTGTGGAGCATCCCCGATCCCAGCCTAGGAGGCATCCTCATCCCAGCCTGGGGAGCACCCCCTATCCCAGCCTGGGGAGTACCCCCAATCCCAGCCTGGGGAGGTGGCTCGAGGAAAGGGTCAGGACCCCGGAGTCATCTTGGACTGGAACTCGTCCTGGAGAGCAGCCTTTGCACTCCGGCGCCTCGGGGCCCTGCCTGCCTTTAGGAGGGTGAGGGTATGGGACAGGTGTGGAAGCCCGTGGGGCCCGCTGTGGTCTCATGGCCAAGGGCCAGTCCCCTTCCCCTGCCTGCGCCGCTGCCCAAGCCTGATCCAGGAGAGGCAGTCAGGAGCAGCAGCCAAATAAAAAGGGAAAACTGTCATTTCTGCCAGATACCAGACTCCAGCCGGCATAGTGGCCCAGGGTGACAGGAAAGCCTGAGGGCCAGGCTTGCCTTGGATGCTGAGCAGGTCCTGAGTGCACAGGTGGGCCCCCCGGGAATGGGTTCATGGCAAACCCCAGGTGTGGCTGAGCTCCGGGGCCCATGGGGAAGAAAGAGACAGCCAGTGATGACGCCCCACCCTGTGGTGGGAGAGGGGCTTGGGGGCTGGGAGGTTACCGATGTGCTCAGCCCAGGCTCTGGACCTCCCTGCAGAGCCGTGGTCTAGAGTCAGCCACAGGGGGGACTGCCATGAAGGGAGAGTCTGGCCAGGTCTCAGGGCAGGAAGCCAAGGGCAGGCCAAGGACTGGATGCCAGTAAGTCCTGCATGCACCTACCTCCAGCGACAGGCAGGGAGAGCTCCCAGGGAACCTCGGGCCAGGGCCCCCCATGGTGAGGGGCTGATTTGGAACCCAAAAAGGATTCTGGGTGGGGGGGTTGAGTGAGGGCAGACACCTCAAGGACGTCTGAGTGAGGGCAGAGGGACCTCAGGCCAAGCCTGCTGAGTAAGTGAGAGGCACAGCCAGTTCCGCATGGAGAGCTGCCCTTGTCTGAGATGAGCTGGTGTCCGGCCAGGCTCAGGTTAAGGGTGTCATGCTGCAGGGGCCACCTGCTGGGCCAGAGCCCGGGTCTTGCGAGCGGGGGAGGGAAGGATTCCACACAGCTAGCTCAGGGTGGGGATCCCAGAGATGCAAGAGAAATTCGGTTAGGCATGGCTCAGGGGGGTGTCCCAGAGCAGGTGGAGTGAGGCTCACGGCCACAGTGAAAGCTTCCTCTGCACTCTGTGAAACCCAGCCCTGGCTGGCACGCTCAGCATCCTGTCCTCAGCCACAGGCCTTCGGGCTCCCAACTGCCCAGGGGGGCTGTGGCACAGAAGCTATTCAGAGGGGACATGGGGTCTAGCCAGGCCTGCCTGGGGCCAGCCCCTCCTCAGCCACCTCTCTCAGCCTCCAGTTCCTCCCCTCTGACTTGAATGGTGACTCCAGTGCAGGGCGGCTGTGAGGAGTGAAAGTGCTTCCTAATGGACTGTTTCTGGCAAACAGAAGGCGTTCCGCAGTCGTGACTGTTTGCACGATTAGAATCTGAGGCAAGGCCAGCTTGGACAAGGCTGTAGCCTTCTTTCAGCCTCAGGTGTTCAGTCTCTGGAAACACCATACAATGACCAGCAAGTCTGCTTGCCTAAATTTCAGGACTGAAAGAAATAAGGGTTCTTCTGCAATCACACACTCAGCCTGGAAATGGCAAGGACGCCTGAGCAGGCAGAATCCTGAGGCGGCAGCCCTGTGAGTTCAGCGCGGGGCGGGGGAATGTCACAGGTCTGGACTTCTGTCTCCTCACTTACCAGCTGAGTGATCTGGGCAAAGCGCCTGGTGGCTTTGAGTCTCAGTGTTCCCATCTGTATAATGGGCTAGACTAAGTACTTAACATCATCGGCTGTTGTAGAGACTATATGAGACAATGCATTTAAAGCAATAGCATAGTGGAGGCTGGGTGCAGTGGCTCATGCCTGTAATCCCAGCACTTTGGGAGGCTGAGGCGAGCAGATCACTAGGTCAGGGGTTCAAGACCAGCCTGGCCAACATGGTGAAATCCTGTCTCTACTAAAAATATAAAAATTAGCCAATGTGGTGGTGGGTGCCTGTAATCCCAGCTACATGGGAGGTGGAGGCAAGAGAATTGCTTGAACCTGGGAGGCGGAGGTTGCAGTGAGCTGAGACCACGCCATTGCACTCCAGCCTGGGTGGCAGAGCAAGACTCCGACTCAAAAACAATCAAGAAATAAAATAAAGCAGTAGCATAGTGCTTGGCCCGCAGAAGCACTCACTGGGCAGAGGTTGCTGCAACCTTTGCAAGGTTGTTGCAAAGACAAAATGCCTGGGAAGGTGTTTTATAAACTGTAAAGTTCAGGACACACCGCAGTCATCAAGGTCTGTCCAGGGTTGTGTGTTCCGGTGTGCACATCACATGTTTGTATGTTGATACTTGCCTAGCATTCTGAGTTTGTGATATGGATGTATTTTGTGTGTGCTTACGCAGATGTGTGGCTGCGTGGACATTTGTGTGTGTATCAAACACCTAGCAGCCTGACAGGTGCTTCCTCCTCCCTCTGATGCCGCAGGGGTCCTGGGCCTGAGTAGCATTAGTTGTGTGCCGTTTAGCGTTTGCTTGATTTTCTGTCGGCTTCCAAAGATCATATCCATTCTCCAAGATAACTGATATGTGGTGAAGAAAGGATTTTGTGATTATTTAAAAATGGTGGTTATCCTGGCCAGGCATGGTGGCTCATGCCTCTGTTCCCAGCACTTTAGGAGGCCGAGGTGGGCAGATCACCTGAGGTCAGGAGATGGAGACCATCCTGGCCAACATGTGAAACCCCATCTCTACGAAAAATACACAAATACAAAAATTAGCCGGGCATGGTGGTGTGCGCCTGTAATCCCAAGTTGCAGTGAGCCAAGATGGTGCCATTGCACTCCAGTCTGGGCAACAAGTGCAAAACTCCGTCTAAAAAAAAAATTACATGTTGAGTCGACACTGTGCCAGCTAAACCACGCCTATCATCCTGGCACTTTGGGAGGCCGAAGCTGGTGGATCACCTGAGTTCAAGCATTTGAGACCAGTCTGGCCAACATGGTGAAGCCCTGTCTCTCTTAAAATTACAAAAATTAGCAGGGCATGGTGGCAGTGCCTGTAATCCCAGCTACTTGGGAGACTGAGGCAGGAGAATTGCTTGAACCCGGGTGGTGGAGACTGCAGTGAGCCGAGCTTGCGCCACTGCACTCCAGCCTGGGCGACAGAGCGAGAGTCCATCTCAAAAACAAAAAAAGTCACCTGTTGGGTCAGCACTGTGCCAGCCAAAACCACCTTGTGTGATGAACATCGCCATGGTCCTTCATGGTCTTCCATGTGGTCCTAAGTGAGAACCTGTCTGGAGCAACTGCAGACGAGCGGGGCCCTGGGCAGCTGGCTGGGCTGGGCTGGGCTCACCTGCCAGGAGTCCAAATCAAGGGCGGCTTTTCCCTCCCTCCTCCTCCCTCTGCTCTGGTCATGCCCTTCATCACGATCTGCCACTAGGTGGCGCTCAGAATCCAGCATCCTACACGAGCAGAGCAAACGGGTCCCTAATTCCCCCGACTTCAGTCCACTGGGCAACCTGGAGTTTTTTTCTTTCCTCCTTTTATTCAATCAAAAATTTAACACATAGCCAGGCACGGTGGCTTACACCTGTAATCCCAGCTGGTTTCTGCATAAAGTATTTCAAGGAGAAGCAAGAGACTGCCTTTTTGTCCCTTTGAGATTCCTAACTAAACAAAACCTTACAAAGCATGGGGTTGATGACAAGAGATACCAAAAAAAGGGGTCTGCCCCAGCCATCGGGGATGCAGTGTGCCATGCCAACGGCAGGAGGCTGTGGGATTGACCAGAAGGCCAAGCCAGGTGAGAGCAGAATGGCGAGGGGTAGAGGCCGTCTCTACCCCCTGTACCCAGAGTCTTCCTGGGCAGGCCTCCCATGTGTGCCTCAGTGGCCAAAGGACACCACCAAAGCAACCTTCCTGGGCATCAGTGCCCCCAACCCCCACACACCTCCTGATTAGGTCTGAATGCTCCGCCGGCATCCACAGCCCCTCGCAGCCCTGCCCCAGTGAGGCAGCCCCCTGGCCTGTCACTGCATCACCGCACAGACTGGCATATGCAAACCTTAGGACGGGCCTCAGAAGGCCTTGGGGACATCAGGTGATACAGTCAGAGGACTTGGTACAGCCACATAGCTTGGGGGGGCACAGCAATGGCAGCCTCGAACACACACACCTATTCAACAAGCCCCACGCTGAGCATGCCCCATGTTGGCAAACTGAATACTTGCAGCCACCCAGAGTGTAGATCCCAGGACCATCCCCATCACACAGACAAGGAAACTGAGAGGCACAGCTCATGAGCAGAGGGACGGGCCTGCACTCGGCTGGCCAATACCAGCCTCCCTCCGACCAAATGCCAGGCGGCACCGTGGCCCACACAGTGGACACGGGACTCGGGATACTGAGGGAGCCAAACGTGCCACGAATGCACTAAAGCTCAATCTTTAAAACTAACCAGGAGAAGCAAGGAATGATGAGCCACAGTTAGGGCGGTTGTCAAGAGAAGGCAGGAGATGCAGCCCAGGGAGTCCAGGCCGCAGTCACGCTCAATCTCTTTAGCTGGGCATTGGGGACACAGAGCTCACTACGCTGTCATTTTCTTTTTTTTTTTTTTTTTTTGAGACGGAGTTTCGCTCTTGTTACCCAGGCTGGAGTGCAATGGCGCGATCTCGGCTCACCTCAACCTCCGCCTCCTGGGTTCAGGCAATTCTCCTCTCAGCCTCCCAAGTAGCTAGGATAACAGGCACGCGCCACCATGCCCAGCTAATTTTT